TTTTTTTACACGTAAGTCTCAAACAATTTATTTATTTATCGTTTAATTATAAGTGAAATTAACAATAATTGATTTTCTACTTAGAGTAATTTTTGTACTTAAAAAATAATTTTTTTACTTATAAGTGAAGTTTTTATTTATATGTAAGTAATTAGTTATAAATTATTATTTTACTTACAAATGAAACTATTTATTATTATATAAATTTACTTATATACAAACTTGCTTGCTTATAAGTAAATTTACGGATTTTGATTTTGATTCAAAACATTGTGAATAAATAATGCTGTCTAATTCCAAACCTACCCCATAAAACTTATTGATTTTATTCCGTTCATTAAGGGAGAATAAACATCCCAAATTAGTTTGATTTATTAATTGCGCATTTGCACCAAACCTTCTTATACGTTTTCATATCATTATGCATAGCAATTTCAATAATCCTGTTACAAAGAGAGAGACACTATTTATTTGTACAGATACATACAATCATAAAATTGAATATTTTATACTAATTAGACAATCAAAATGCTACGAAAATAATTCAAAAAATAGGGCATCCATTCACTGCAATTCCTTCGGCAGTCGGACAAGAAGCCAAGGGGCATCCGTCTGCGGCGCTTCCCCACCATTCGAGGCTAATGTGTTCCATCCCGAGGCACAAGTACAAAAACACTCCCATGAAAGCTAATCCAGCATCGAGCGCCCCTGATAGGAGATAATTGTGTCGACTCCACCAGTTGCGGTAGTATCTATAAGCAACAAAACCCGAGACAAAACCAATAATAATCCAGCTGTTGTAGTTTACAGCAGTAGCTGGGGGCATATTAATTACCGAAACTAATAGCACAGGAACCGTAATATTTCTTATCCACAGTTGACTCGGAAAGGCCTTAGTCGCAAGCCAAACAAGGACAGGAGCTAAGGCCCCTACCAAAAATGACCAGTTAATAGCCGAGTAGTAACCAAGATTCCCAAACATTCTTTGCGGCCCAATCAAACCCCATATCACAGAGGCATCATAGAATACATGGTCTCCAGGACAAGTCCATGGACTGCTTGAAGGAAGCACATTTCTATCGCAAATATTTGGTACAGTGTCCATTAGCCACCACGCCGTTCCTAGATGTACGAACACTGATAGTAAAGTGCCAACTACCTAGACGAAGAGAAGTAAAGATCATCATAATGAGAAAAAAAAGGGTTAAAAACACGGTTAGGCACCGAACTAAAAAAGAAAGAAACATCACAAAACTTTATTTCGATCCAAAGTGTTAACCGATAATATGCCTTTTTCTTCAATTTGATGCCACATCAGATTGCCATCTTCCATATTAGATAGAGTAATGTTATTCATAATCAACGACTGTAATAGTCATTCTATGTGGCAGTATGTTATTTGATACATTAACTTGTTATTTGGGGGCAACAGAGTTATATGAAATTAATTCTCCAAATAACAAGCTGTCACAAAGATGGTTACTTGTAGTCGCTAACTATGAATAGCGCTACTCAGATAGATATTACAGTAGAAAAACTAACAGATTTTAACTCGGTGAGTCACTAAATTGAAACAAAATGTAAAATGTCAATTACTGCTATTGGAACAAAATAAAGTTGGATGATTAAAATGAAACTTCGATACAAGAACACCAAACATGCTGTTTTAATGTTTGGGAAGGAAATGGAAACTAACCTGTGCCATGAACATTGCTCTAGGGGGTATTTTCATGTAATGTCCAAGTTTGAAGTCTTGTAGAAACATAAGCCCCTGTTTCATACTGATATAACCATACACCTTAAAGCACATGTTAGCAACTGGATATCCGGGATATAAGTATCCAATGATGTACTCCGTGATCACATTCAAACCTGGTGTCTGATGAATAAAGAAATTTAAGAGTGAACAATTTTGTAAATGATTAAACAATTTTGTAAATCATCTGGACAATTCTGTGTTGTAAAGCAACTAATCAATTCTAATTAAACAATGATTTGAATCTAGTACAAAATGGCTAGAATCAATTCTATCACAGAAATTATATGTAGTACAATAATGAATTTACAGAACTAGACATATGCATCATCCACACTCAAGCAGTCATAGAACTCGATAACGGCATAGAATCTCACTTGATTAGCTGTTGCAGTGATGACTCCGACTGGAAGGGTGAAAAAGAAAGCAAGCCCACATGCCAACAAGACGCCCCACCAAGGCAACTGAAGTTGCTCATTGTAGATTTGACAGATAAGTAAGGTAACTGCTATGTTTATCAAAAGAATGCATGTAAACCACCATTCTGGAACTTGCTTGTATTTTTGCATAAGCTTTGTGTGCACATCCATCTTCTTTTCACTGAAGGCTGACTTGCTCAGCTGGCATATATCTCTAAATGGAAAAAAAGTGATGTTAAGCTTGCTCTTTGAGTGTTCTACAAAACTCGTGTTAAATACATGACCTTAACAGCTACACTTTACTGTAAACACAGACTCACCAGTGAAATTATTACTAGATTATGTAACAAAATGTTAATAGAGGCATCTGGGAAATGAAAACTTTGGGTAGAATATGATGAAATAAATAATACGTTTATTATTACCGAAATGATCTTGTTCAACATACCTGCCGTGAAAGAGGACAACATGGACAATGGTGGCAGTGAGACAAGCAAAACTGAAAGCATAGGTCATAGCAAAGAATGTGCTGAGATAGAGACGTCCTTCTTTCTCATACGCATCCAAGTCAATGTGGAAGTTCGAATCTACAACGGCCGAGATGTTGTATTTTTGCCCATTTGATGTAAAGAGGTTATCAGAGAATATAGGAAAGGTCTTCGCTTTGTAGACATTGAGCCAGTACATAATCGGGGTTATAACATACATCATAAGAAAATATCCAGCAGCAATGTTAGCAGTAGCGAACCACGGGCTGGCTAATGGGCTCCCGAGGTATGAGGATATGCTGGACCAGTCGAGCCCAACAGCACCAACCCCAAGACCATGGAGCCCAGAACCAAGTTGTTGGGCTAGGACTGAAGAAGGGAATATCCAACAAAGCCAGGACATGGAAGTTAGCATCGGAAAAAGATATCCAGGAAATACATAATAGCAGAAGCTACAAATGAAGGCGATAAGGAAGAACTGATTTCGTGTCAATCCACCCTTAGCTCTCTCTTCTTTTTCATGAAGCGCCCTGCCATTTTGAAATCATATAGTGAAAAACTTGAAACACTACTATACAACAAGAACTCATCGATGCTATGAAGGTTTAGACAATACATAATGTCACCCTTAGACTATAATCTATTTTGAACGAGACTTGGAAAAGAATCAATAGTTAAAAGAAAAAAATTAGGAAGGTAGAAACATAGCTCACTAACAAGTTCTATTCATCCCTGTTAGTCATCGAATAGAACATAACCTGTTTGTACTTTGCATAAGTTTGCTAAAAAGAAGTTCTAAATGGGAACAGAAAGAAAAAGAAGGGTGTCATTTTAGCTGTATGCAATAAAAAGAGCAGCTTCATCATTAAATGCTCACAAGTATTACGCAATTCTCAAAACAAAGCAAGACACAAGCCAAATTACTCGAGTATATTTGACGATGAAGCCAACAAACTGTCATAATCTAGTGCTATGCATCAAGAAACTAACCACAACATTCAGGTTATTCAAGTGTCCTCCAATCAACACACATGGTTTCAAGCAAAATGCAAAACAAAGAGTTACGACTAAACTTGAGTTAACACACTAAATGGCAATACTAAAGCTAAATTACTTATAAAGCAACATCAAGATGTTATACTTGATCTTGTAAGGTTTTGTATGAATAATACATTCTATTTCGTTCAATCCCTTTTTCCCATCATGAATTTTCTATAAATTATGCAATTCAAAGACAAAAACAGATACAAATGAAGAAGAAAAAGGTGACTCGAGAAAATAACTATGTACAACATACATATATGATGATAAAACCCTTCGACCAACGCAAGCTGAGAGAAGTAGCTTGTACCTGAATAAAGACACCTGAACAAGGTTTTGGGGCCACCACATAGCAGCGGGCTCGACCAAGTACCTTCGAAAAAGACCGGCCCATCCAAATCCCAAAACCTGAGTCGTCAGAACCACCGCCAGCGCCACCCAGAAGCTCAACCTCTGTTTATAAAATATCTTCACAGCACTAACAATATGAATCGCGTAAGGGTTTCCCGCCCCTGAATTCGCAAAAATGGTGATCAATACATGCTCCTTCACATTGAACGGACCTGGATTCAAACTAAATTCCCAACTCCGCCCCTTGAAGAACACTCTTCGCGTAATTACCGCCGCCATGAGGTGGCCTAAGGGTATCACTGCAATCTGGGCGGAGATGGCGGTGATCGAGAGCGGCTCACGGCGGTACCAGAAGAATTGGTTGAGGAACGAGAGAAGAGTACAAGCCACGGCTCCTAGGGTCCACATCCGGAAGGTGACTACGGGTAGGGTCGGGTCGTCGTTGACCGGCACCGTGAGTGCTACTTGCTCGATCGAAGAGTTTTCTTGTTCCTCCTCCGGCTCCGGCGAGGCATGCGATTCCGGCTTCTGAACTGCACATTTTCACTTCAGATTCAAATCTAATTTTAAAAACAAGAATTGATGTAATAAAAGCATGCTTACTTACTAAGAGGGGATGAGATTTCTTGAATTCCAGACATTTTCCTTTGGCAGATTCTGATTCTCCGAGTAGATTGAATCAATGTCCCCCTACAGATGCCATCAAAGGAGAGTGGATTCCTGAGTCAACGTCGAAGTGAAGTAAGTGATGACGAAGGAATCAAAAGGAGTAGCTTCGTAGATTCTTTAAATTCACCCATTCTCACCAACTCCCATTCGTCGGAGATTCTTTAAGATTTTCTTTTCGTCTTAAATCCATTATCAATTAAATATTATTTTCAGTAAAATAATTTTACTTATAAACTTATAATTTTTCTCTATTTTTTAATCATATATTCTAAAAAAAATTCTATTTCTTGTCCTGATTCCCCCGACTCTCTCTAACATCCAGGCTCCAATTGGGGAGTCTTTATCTCTAAAAATAGTATTTGAATGAAATATATACCAGGGAAACCAGAGAAAAACAAGGAAAGAAAGTTGCTGGCATTTGATGATGAACCTGACATACTTATTGTCCAGATTCATCTATCCTTAAATTTTTGGGTAAATTCCACTTGTACATCAAGTTGTGTACATAAGGGGTTACACCTCCTCACGTGGGGGTGGGACCTCTTTTTTTTTTTTATTCAATCTGGTCCCACCGTCCATGTGAGGGGGTGTAACCCCCGATATACACCCCGATGTACCGCTAGTATCACCCTAAATTTTTTATGGAGCAGACAATGTATATGGTAGTGTTTCTGTTCCAGAGATGGATTGAATTGCACATTGTCCAAATTGAGGGGACTGAAATGCGCATTGACAAAATATCATCTCTCTATGCACAAAATAAATAAATAATAATAAAAAATTCGATCTTATCCAATTTCAAGAGGGTGCTCTATTAATATTTCTGATTTGTTATACTAATTTTCATCTTTAGCTTGCTGCTTTAATAGATGTGAATGGTGGTGCTTACCCACTTCCAAGCAGTGCTAATTCTCTGATTTTTGGTGGTGAATTTCATAAATTAGGCCCTATGGTTGTTGTATGCGTGCAAAATCTATAAGTGTATTATGTAGTCAATAGTTAAACTTGTTAATTTAAAACTTAACATTAAAACAACAAATAAAATATATTATAAAAAAGATTTATATTATAATAAAATATAACAAAGCGGACAATGTTCCAAACGATCAGTTAAATACTATTCGTCTTGCAATTTTAGAGGCAAAAATATTAATTAAATTCGAATAATCTACCCGTTCAACCATTTCTTTCTCAATTGATAAAATAGTAAATCCATTCAATATTTCTTGTGATATAATTGATTGGAGATAAGGTATGATTAACAAAATTTTGGAAGTAATATAAGCATTTGGGATGTCTTCAAATATTGTAACCCTTCAATTACTCTCGTTGCTTCACTTGGTATATAGTTGCTTAATTCAGAACATAAATCATCTCCATTAATACCCGGATGTCCATTATGTTTCAGATACTTCTCAATAATCATACAAGGTTTCAACAAATTGAAAAAAGTTGCACGTCTTAACCTCTCCAAATTTAACGAAAATTCAAATATCTCTTCATATTGTTTAAATTATTCAAATCAAATCTTAGAAAAGATAGAGTTTGATTAATTATAAAAAGGAAGCATTCAACTCTAAAAGATTATTCAACCGATTGATTCACCTCATCACTACTACTTTAGTCAAATTCCCTTTT